TCTGGCAAGCACAGGCACCCTATAGCAAAATCCTCTCCATAAATAAATAAATAAGCAACTATTTTTTTGCTTAGGTTTTTTTTTTTTTTTTCCTATAGGACATGTGGATTCACCACACAGAGACAGAGAGAATGAATGAGAGGGAAAGTGAGAAACCATCCCCCAGGGAGGATGGCCATGTCACGATCCCTTCTCCTTCATTCTTCTCTTGGGATTTTGGGTGTGCGCACACATGTGCATGGCATGATTTTCAAGTCACAGGCTCTGGGACTCAAACTGTACAGTAGAACATATGGAATCCAGCTCCATAAACTCCACACATCTTGTGGTCTTAAAAAAACCTAAATTTTTGACAGTTAAAATTAAATGTATCCTGGGTCAGTGGATGGTATGAAGATTAAGGCAATGGATTCCACGTGGCTATTTGGTTTGAGTCCAAGACCAAAGACTTGAAAATCACACTGTGTACATGTGTGGGCATGCTCGGAATCCCAAGAGGAGCATGAAGGAGCTAGGATTGTAATGTGGCCATTTCATCAGGGGAGTGCTTTCTCAATTTTCCTCTCTATCTCCCTCTCTCATCTGTCTCTCTCTGGAGAGTGCACATGCCTTATAGCAAAAATCTAAAATAAATAAATTGATTAATATACCCTGAGAATCATGGCAGCAAAGATAAGAAAAGGAAAGTCATCAGTTATAATATTATCATTGTATAGAAGCTTAATTATTTCAGAAAGATTAATTACTTCTAGGCAGTAAATTCTAAGTGGGATTAGTCACTTGAGTCTTTATATTATATATGAAGTACTGATGACTGTCACAATTTTCTTCCTAAATCATTATTGGGACATAAACCTATCATTTGAACAGTACTTTTTAAAACCAATACATAGAATCAAAGAGCATGATGTTACTTTCTAAGTAAATAAATTTTATATTTGAGGACTTACACAACTCTTATGTTTGGAGACTTAAAGCATCCCAGGCATGCTTCTTCAGAGTGAATTACTCCCAGGAAGTGATGGTGAATAGTGCTTGTTTTGAGTAGTTATTATCAAACCCTTTTGTCATAAAAAATTATTGAAGATATCAACAAATCTATAAGTAATGTGTTCTATTTATTAATATTTAATGGTTAAAACTGATGACTTAAAACATGCATTAATTTATTTCAAAATATTAATCATACTCCATCCCACGTTAATTTAAATGCAATGGTTTTAGAAAAAAACAATTATTTTTTTAAAAACAAAAAAGACTACTAAGAATACTGGAGTATATTACATGTTTTGTCAATTTCTTTAGTGTGTGGCTTTAATAAAAATAAAAGATAGTATCTCATATCTGCTCTTGTATTCAATCTGTGGTGGCAACAGGTATCATGTATAGCATATGTCTAGAAAACTCCACTGTACATTCATGAGCATGTAATAATGAAAAGACAAGTATACTATAAAATAATTTCTTGTCTATAAATCTTTTGAAAGGGTCTTTGGGTCCTATAGAAGTTCCCAGATTATACTTTGAGGGCTTTTGATCTGGAAGAGCAATCTTCAAAAGTTTTAAATAAAGAAACTATATTGTAAATATTTTGAATTTGAATTAATGATTCAAATGATAAATTTTATACATGGATTAATTACTAGTAAATAATGATTGAACATAAAACATAAAAATTATTTATAATGATAAGATTGTATCATATATATTAAAGCATTAGATAATTTTGGCTTAAGCATTTATAGCACACAGATTTGGAGTTCTGTTTCTAAGTTCAGTTCATTTGAATTATTATAAAAAGTATATTTTGGGGTCAGCAGGTGGCATGTTGGTTAAGGATGCTGGATGCCCACATGACTGAGTCCTGGACCTGGTGGCTTGCTTTTTCACTTTCCCTATCTCTCTCTCTCTCTGTTCCTCTCTGGTCAAATTAAAATAAATAAATAAAGATAAATGAAATAATTCTTTTAAAAACTATATATATGTATATGTATATATCTCCTTTGATGTCAACAGTTTATTTTGACAGATTAAGTGAGAGGTTTTATTTTCATACAAATGAGGTAAAAAATCCTTAACTTTTTATTTGGAAACATTTTAAAACCCAGTTAATAGCACACAAATATCAGAGTTTTACAGAGGTATGCCTTTGTAAATTTAGTAATGTCACACAAAAACAGTCATAAATATCTATTTATAAGATAATCTTTTCTGACATGGCAGCATGCCCAGCATACTTTAGAAGATGGCTATTAAATGAATGAGCAAATTAATATATAAAATTGACTTTTTTATCAAAATTATTTATTATAGACAGATTTGCTGAAAGGATAGCTAGGTTTTCAAGGCTAGCATAGCATTCTCTGTGTCTCACTTGAGGTTGGGTTCAGAATCTATATCAAAGACATCAGACAATTGAGAGGTGTTCTTGTGATGAAACTATCAAAAAGCAGACAACTTGAAAGATTCACTAAAGCATCACTTAAAATGTGTATGTGGTTTGGAATCACATTGGAATAGGCAAAAAATTCTTAAATAAGAGCTGTAAAGTGCAGCAATCCCAGAAACAGACAAATGGGATGAATCAAGGTAAAAATCAAACAATGAATAATCAGCAAATAAAACAAATAATAGACAACCTACAGAATTGTAGAAAATATTTGCAAATTATGCCTTAGATTGGGTTTGATAACTGTATTATATAGGGAACTCAAGCAGCTAACCACAGAAAAACTAACAATCCAATAAAAAAATGGCAAATGAGCTGAATATACAGTCTCAAAGGAAGATATATGAATAGTTAAAAAAACATATGCAAAAATGTTCAAAGTCTCTTATCATAAAGGAAATGCAAATCAAAACCACAATGATCTATCACTTAACCGTAATCAGAATGGGTATAGAACAAGTTCTGGTGAGGCTGTGATAAAAAGGGAACCCTCCTGCAATGATGGTAGGAATGTAGATTAATATAATCACTGTAGAAAACTATATGGAAATTCCTCAAAAATTTACAAATGGAACTATTATAGGACCAGGTAGTCCTACTCTTTGGTATTTACACAAAGAATAAGAAAATACTTAGTAGAAGAGACGCTTGCACATCCATGTTTATTGAAGAATTATCCATAATTGGTAAGTCATGGAATCAACCTAAGTGCCCAATTGATGACTAGATTTAAAAGAAAGTTGCTCATCTCAAGATGTAACGTTACTCAGTCATAAAGAGCAATGAGACTCTGTCATTTGATACAAAGTGGATGAATCTAGAAGACTGAATACTAAATGAAATAAGACAATCTATGAAAGAGAAACATGGTATGTCTCCAGTTGATATATACTTTAAGTCTGCATGCTATGGCAGAAATGGATAGATTTGAAGACATAATAGTAAGAAGGACAAGTATGTGTGTGGGGGGTGTGAACTGTGGAGAGTATGTGGGAGTAGGTAGAATGTCAAGTTCTTTGTTGAAAATCACATAGTAACATCACTGATTTGATTACCACACACTATATGCATGCTTTGAAAAATCATATTGTATGCAATATTTATGACAAACATAAATAAGAAATATATATATATATGAAAAAGGCAGAATAGACATTTTAAAATGTGAATGTGGGCCCATTGTGGTGTGCAACTTGCTAAAACACTGTATTCAGTAGGCCAGGATCATATGGGAGTTCTAGTTTTGATTTCCTGTACAACCTGAAAGCTAAGTATAGTTGTGTGTGCCTCTAACCCAGTGACCAAAAAGGCTAAGACAAGGTTTCAAATTCTAGGCTGACATATATATCTGTATCTATATCTATATCTATATCTATATATCTATATCTATATCTATATCTATATCTATATCTATATCTATATCTATATCTATATCTATATCTATATCTATTTGCATGAAAGAGAAACATGGTATGTCTCCAGTTGATATATACTTTAAGTCTGCATGCTATGGCAGAAATGGATAGATTTGAAGACATAATAGTAAGAAGGACAAGTATGTGTGTGGGGGGTGTGAACTGTGGAGAGTATGTGGGAGTAGGTAGAATGTCAAGTTCTTTGTTGAAAATCACATAGTAACATCACTGATTTGATTACCACACACTATATGCATGCTTTGAAAAATCATATTGTATGCAATATTTATGACAAACATAAATAAGAAATATATATATATATGAAAAAGGCAGAATAGACATTTTAAAATGTGAATGTGGGCCCATTGTGGTGTGCAACTTGCTAAAACACTGTATTCAGTAGGCCAGGATCATATGGGAGTTCTAGTTTTGATTTCCTGTACAACCTGAAAGCTAAGTATAGTTGTGTGTGCCTCTAACCCAGTGACCAAAAAGGCTAAGACAAGGTTTCAAATTCTAGGCTGACATATATATCTATATCTATATCTATATCTATATCTATATCTATATCTATATCTATATCTATTTGCTTCTTTGTGCTGTGAGAAAACAGAATAGACAGCATGATGCAGTTATCAGTTTCAGGTGTGTTTTGAACTCTTTTGCTGGTCAATTAAAAAGAAGCCATACTATATAGAGAGAAGGTAATCAACAATTTCCACATGAAAAAATATCTTTAAGTGACTCAAAAAAATACATAAAAGGACAAAAACAAGGGGAAAAAAGATGAATAATGTAATGGTGTGGATCTCTTTGAGAAATAATTATACTATCTTATCCATCTTATAATCATTCATATGAAAAATTGATGATAACAATAAATAAATGCTAAGGCACCATATTTTCAAATTAAATTTATTGAAAGTGATCAGAGATCAAAGAGAAATTGCTGTTTCATTCAAGAGAAATTTGTTGTGTCTTGCACAATTAAACCATAAAAGACAATACTTGTAGTTTTTGTCATGATTTAGATTCAGATTTTTACTATTTGATGTTAATGTAGATGAATAAGTATGACAGAAACAGTGATGTTTCACAGGATGGCAAATCTGGTGGTCTCAGCAGTTGAGAATTTTTCAGTAGAATCCATATGACCAATATTGTCCATAACAAGATGGGCGGCAGCAGCCATATCTATAACCGTAGGCACAGCCCAGGCTGCCATAGCCACAGCCAAGCCCTCCACAGCCATAGCCTCCATAGTAGTTGCCGTAGTAGATCATGGTTTCTGGAATGGATGGTGCAGTTGTAGGAGATGAAGACGTTTTTTGAATTTGATCATCATTGTCTTCACAATGTCTTTTATACTTCCTCAGTACTAGGTGTGGCAAACCACAGACAATATTGTCTCATTATAAATTATTTTTGCATTAACCACAAACACCTCCAACATGAGCAAAACTCTCATAAATCTCTTAGTTCACTAGGCATGAGAAGCCTTCATAGCCTAGATTCTTCTATTGCTGTGTCAGGATGTTCATAATCAAATTGTGTGTTTAGAATGAGAGATTTCCTTTACCTGATTTTAAGTTTTCCTCTCTGAGAGCTCAAATTAGAATTCCATGATGAGATCCTATGAAATAACAAAAACTATGCAGGCCACAACTGATTCAAATCATTTTTGTTTTTTTATAATCCTCAAAATCATCTTCCAGTTGCAGTTAAGGAAATCACTCCGTAGGACCTTGGGGAAACAGAAGTGCTTAATGGGAAAAGCATACTAAAGCATGAGATATGAAATATTGTTTAATGTTTCTGTATAGACGAACCAATTAATCTTACTTTAAGTACATACAGGAGGTAGCATTTTTATAGATATAACTTTACAAATGAAAAAAAAGCTTTTTTTTGATTATGCTGAATTCTATTTTAACTCATTTCTACTAGATGGCAAAACATTATCTATCCTGTGCTGATATCTAAGGCACTGTGTATATTGCCATTTTTAATTGCTATAATAAAAAGAACTTTAGCTTCACTACTTAGCTTTCAGTGGTACATCCTTGGGGTTCTATAGCTAGAAAAGTCTCTGGCTGTGATAGGGAAATCAATGAATTGGCACCCAGAACCATCTGAGTGGACACTGATTATTGTGTCCCTACCAGCTTGTGCTATATTTATTGGGGAATGCATTGGAGCTAGCTTTACTTTCCAATGCAGAGACATGATGGAAGATTTTTCTTCAGCTTTGGTGGTGCATGGCCTCTACGTGTTGCCTTAACCATGTCTGAATTCTCTTATTCAGTTAACTGCTCTACTGTGTCATTTGCTCATAAAGGGTTATGAGATGAAATAAGTAACAGCCAATATTATTCTTGTATCTTCTATGAGACAGAAATTAGCCTAAATATCTGATACCTTTTAACTAATTTGATTTTCAAAATCCACTTATGGGGTAAATATTATTATTACCACCCCACCTGTAGACTGGTCAACTGATGCATGCAGTTATAATGGTCATACAGCTGTGAGTGGTGGAAGTAAGATTTGGGCACAGAGAATTTATTCCAGAAATATTGCTCTGATGTACTCTAGCCCATAGGCTCCTATTAGTCAGATTATGGAGAACATAAGTTTAGAGGGCTTTTGATTTTAATCATGGAATTCAGCTCTGAGATTCATTACAGTAAATAACGGACCAGTAAGAATACGTTTAATTTAGTCTAGTATTTTACAAAAACTGCTTACTTGGTGAAAATCTACCACATTTCATGAAAAGATTCTGCAACCATTATTACTGTTTTAATAAACAAGTGTCTATATTACTTTTTGAGCTAGAACTCAAACATAACAAAAAGAAAACTCTTTCATGAATATGGAACATTTGTAAATAAAATGCAAAATATTTTTATTTTATTTTTAATTTATTTACATTTAATTGTTATATATTTGTATGTTGTACAGTATGGTTTTTCAAAGCATGTAAGCAGTATTAGATGGTATTACTATATATCAATGCATTGTTTTCCACAAAAAAACCTTACTTGTTTCTGTCTGTTAAGTGCTTATTTCCTGAGTCCCTCCCACTTATCCCTCTGCGATCCACCCCTCTCCCACACAGTCTCTGGTGTCTACACTTGTCCTTCCTACTATCATGTCTTTGAATCTTTCAATTTATGCCATAGAGTGTAGAGATTTTGTGTATATTGAGTAGGGACATAGAGTGACTCTCTTGCCTAGATTAGCTTATTTCTCTTAGCATCAATTTTTGTATATTTTTTCACTTTGTATTGAATGACAGAATCTTGCTGTTTTATATGATTGAGGAGTATTCATAGTGTATATGTGTCATGTTTTTTTGTTTTATTTTTTTTTGGAGAGGTTTTTGCTATAGGGCATGACAGACAGAGAGAGACAGAGAGACAGAAAGTGAGAAATCACCCCCAAGGGGGAATGGTCACGCCGCAATCCCTTCTCCTCCATTCTCCTCTCGGGATCTTGGGCACACATGCACACACGCCTGGCGTGAGTTTAAGCCACCGGGTCCGGGACTCGAACCGCAGTCGACTATGTGGGAGTCCAGTGACATAGCCATTACGCTAACTGCTGGTCCCTATGTGTCATGTTTTTTAAAATCCAGTCATCAGGTATTAAGCCTTTAGATTATTCCTAGATTATTCCATGTCTTAGCTATTGTGAAGTATGCCACAATAAACATGGATACGAAAGTGTTTTTCTGAGTGACAACTCTTTTTCTTTTTTTCTTTTTTTTGGGAGAGGTTTTTGCTATAGGGTGTTTGTGCTTGCCAGAAAGACAGAGAGACAGTTAGGGCCAGGAGTTAGGATTAGGTTGAGTGGTTAGGGCTGGGGTTAGGGTTCGGGTTCTGGTTACAGGAGGGTCAATGTTAGGGTTAAATTTAGGTTTAGGGCGAGGGGTAGAGAGACAGAGACACAGAAAGCAAGAAGCACTCCCTCCCCCCTGCAGGGAGGATGGCCACACCACAATCCCTTCTCCTCTATCCTTCTCTCAGGATCTTGGGCACACACACACATACACCCAGTGTGAGTTTAAGCCACTGGGTCAGGGACTTGAATTGTGGTCAACTACATGGGAGTCCAGCAACGTAGCTTTTACACCAACCACTGGTCCCATGACTGTTGATTCTTAATTTCCATGATCTGATTATGTATTAATTATGTAAACTTGAAAATTTGAGAACCAATGTTTTCTTTTTTTGTTTGTTTGTTTGTTTTGTTTTGTTATTATTAAGATTCTTTTTGTCTTTCTTCAGACAGAGAGGGAGAGAGCACTTAACAGGGTCTCCCACTGTGATCCCACTCTCAGCCTTTCCCAACCAGTCGGGATAATGAGCAGATGTACATGTGCCCAGCATGTACAGGTCAACCAGGAAACCAAACTCCATTTTAAAACTATGGCTTCTAACATTGTAAAGTTGCGCTATTGTGGCTAGACTCAATTCAGTGTTATAAAGAGTTATAAATAGAAATAATGATGCAAGAAAGAAAAGTCCATATTTGCCATACCTGATATTTCAGAATATCAGACTATAGGATTTTTTTTGTCAGCAGTATCTTGAACTCAAATAATACCTCTTGGCTTTTAGGAGTAGCCCATCTCTCATGTAAAAATAAGGAGAATCCTTAAAAGAAAAAAAGTGGATTTGGAGCAGCAGGGAAGAAATGGAGAAAAACAGTTCAAGGGAGATTATCATGACCCAGTGAATGTCAGCAAAACAAAGGTAAATTATTGGTTGTCTAAAGCAAGTCAATGTTTGGCTACTAAAAATGCTATTTCTTATTATAAGGACTAGTGAGAAAAAGATAAGGATAATGTCTGGTGTAGAGTTAAATGTAAGACAACTGACTGTCATTAATGATCCACAGATGATTCAGATGTGGAAAAACAGTAGGGAATGTTCTCAATGTCACCAAAGCCATGCTTTAAAACCAAGAGTCAACAAATTACTCATATTGGTTTAGCAAAGTAGCCAATGGTGTCACTTGCTCAGGTGGTGGGTCATTCTAAAGGCAATATAAAAGGCCCTCTACAAGGAGGATTGTCCAAATTCAAGTCACCTCCACTCCTTCTCTACCCAACAATAACCTCAATAACCAACACCATGTGTGGCAGCTACTGCGGAAACTACTATGAAAACTGTGGCTATGGATGCTGTGGCTACGGAGGCCTGGGCTGTGGCTA